GAGAGAGAGAGAGAGAGAGAGAGAGAGAGAGAGAGAGAGAGAGAGAGGGTGAGAATGAATCGAGGGAGAAGAGAAGAGGGCCTAGAACAGAACCTTGGAAACACCCACAGTTAAGGAGCGTGATATGGATAATGAGCCAGCAAGGGAGACTGACGAAGAGTGATGATAACAGGTAGGAAGCAAATCAGGAAAAGGAGGATTATGAAAACCCAGAGAAAAGAGGGTGTCTAGGAAGACAAAGTGGTCAGTAGTACCAAACATAGCAGAGAGGTTGAGAAAGATTAGTATTCAGAAAAGACCATCAAATTTAGCCATTAAGAGATCATTGCTAACTATGAAGAGTATAGTTTCAGTTGAGTGATTAGGTCAAAAGCCAGAAGGAGGGTTGAGCTATGAATGAGAGGAAAGGAAAGTGGAGGTGGCAATTATAACTTTTTTTAAATAATATTTTATTTTTTCCTATTACATGTAAAAATAAATTTTGGCATTCATTTTTTATAAAATTTTAAGTTCTGAATTTCCTCCCTTCCCTCCTTCCCTCCTCCCTTCCTAAGACAATAAGCAATTTGATATAGGTTATCAACCATGTGAAATATATTTCCATATTGTTGTTTGTCCTTTTTTCTCAAAGAGGACCATGACATCAGGAAGGTGATACCATGACTTGCAAGTGAATTGGATTTAAGTGAGGGAGGGCTGTGCAAAGTCACCAGCCTCACTCTCTCCTCCGGAGCCATCTGTGGCCAGTGGCCAGATATAGATCAGGAGGACTGGAGATGGCCCCGGATGCAGTGGGAGGCCTCAGCCTTTCTGACCTAACTTCTTTCCCAGGTCTTAGTTCATGAGTTCAAATGCAACCTCAGACACTTACTAGTTGTGTGACCATGGGCAAGTCACTTAACCCTGTTTGCCTTAGTTTCCTCATCTGTAAAGTGAGCTGGAGAAGGAAATCCAAATCACTTCAGTGTCTTTGCCAAGAAAACCTCAGAAGGGGTCACCAAGAGTTGGACACGACCAAAATGATCGAATAACACAGAGTGTTGTTAGAAAGTGGGACAATCAGGAGAGGCCTCCTGCTCGGGATGGCACTTGAGCTCATCACTGGTCTTTGGTCTTATTACTTCCTTTCTCTGTGTCTCAGTGTCCTTAGATGAATTAAGTCCTCTTCTAACTCTGAATCTATGACCTGTAATCACGTGACCCTAGGGTATTTGCCCTTCACCTCAGCTCTTCTCTCTCCTCCCACATTATACACTGGAAGATAAAAGCTCTTCACTCTTTCCTAAGCCAAGAAGTCCCTTTCTGCCACTTCCAATCATTAAGCAAACTGGTTAGGAGCTAGATAATGATACTAATAGCTGAATTTATAGAGTGCTCTAAGGTTTGCAAAGTGCATTACATTCATCAGTTCCTTTGAGTCAGATAGGAAGCCAAGAGGCCCCAGTGCTGGTCTCCTAATGGAGATTGTTATTTTCCCTAACTCCAGCTAGTACCATCAGCTTCAGAACAAAACGTTGTTGACAGCACTCCCTCCTTTTTCTTCTCATTCTACCTCCATCCATCTGCCCTCTATAGTAGAGGTACACTAGCCAGGTACCCTATTTTTCCTGTACAATGGGAGGTGCACAGGCCAGGTGCCCTGCTCTCCCCCAGGGGTCTCCTCTCAGCCTTACTCAGGGAACAAGGGGAACTTTTGGGTGAAGCAGAAGAGTCCAGGAAGAGATGAGGGAGGAGACAGATGTTGGATCCCACTGAGAACCCAGTGGCTCAAGGCCTAGGACGGGATTTGGTATCAATGTTGCAGGGGCCATGCAGTAGAGGAAACAAGAAACCATCAACACATTGCCAAGATCTTTTGGATTCTTACCCACTTCCTTCTCTCTCTCTCTTTCTCTTTCTCTCTCTCTCTCTCTTCCTCCCTCCTAGGCAATGGAGAGCAAGCTGCTGATTGGAGGCCGAAATATAATGGATCATACCAATGAGCAACAGAAAATGTTGGAGCTTAAAAGGCAAGAGATTGCTGAGCAGGTAAGATGCTATCCTTCTGGGCCGATGGGCTGTGGCTGGAAGGTTTGGAGTGAGAGAATCTGGGTTCAAGTGATCAGACAACTAGGTGGTGTAGTGGGTAGAGCGCTGGTAGGGGAGATGTGAATTCAAATTCAGCCACAAACCCTTCCTAGTTTTGTGACCCTTGGGCAAGTCACTTAACATTTGTCTCCATAGCTGTAAAATGGGGTCCTAGAGTTGTTGTGAGGATCAAATGAGATAATACTTGTAAAGAGCTTACCATAGTGCCTGGTAAGTAGGTGCTTAATAAATACTTGTTTCCTTCCTTCCTTCCTTCAAATCCCACTTCTGTTTCCTGTGCTACCTTAGTTCCTCATCTGTAAAATGAGGAAATTGGATTAGACAGCCTCTAAGGCCCTTTCCAACTCTAAATCTAAGATCCCAGGACATTAAATCAGGCTTCGCTGTGGAGAGTAAAATTATCTCCAATGAAACCCTGCAAACACCTAGAACCCCACCCCCTTTGCTCTCTCCCTTGGCTGGAGGGAATGATGGTGATGAGAGCATAAGAAATGTCATGCAGAGCCAGCCTGAGTCCTTCCAGTCCAACAGTCTGTCTCTGACAGCAGTGGATTGTGGGAAGGCAGGGTAATTGCTTTCCATGACGTCAAATTTAGAAGGTCAAGAACAATCCAGACTAGATGACCCATCCCTAAATCATAAAAGTTGAAATATATTTAGTTAACTAGTTAATCTTGTCCTTAGGGTAGGAGAAATGACACTGAGATCATGCCTGTAATTTTCCCAGAGTACTCTCCATTCCTGCAGATCCATGTGGAGGCTGGGACTGGAATCTCAGCAGAGAGATGCGAAGAAGGGCTCAGTAACTGTGATAACAAATGACCTCGTCACAGTAGGGGAAGCTGAGGAGGGGAAAGGTCACATCTGGGGTTAGGATGAATGGGAACATCAGGTCTATGAGGAATTGCAGAGGATAGGAAGTAGCTGGGGGATAGATACTGTCTCCTGAGCTCAGGACCCTGCTCTTTTTCTTTCATTCGTGCATTCTTTTAACAAGAATTTGTTAAACACCTGCTGTATTCTAGGTGGGAGACAAAGTGACATAGTGGATACAGAGCTGGCCCCTAAATCAGAAAACCCTAAGTTCAAATCCCAGTTCTGACACATCCTGGCTGTCACTTCACCACCAAGTGCCCCAGGAAACTCACCAAGACTATATGTAAGTTGCAGAGCAGGTACAGATCTTCATTGGTAAAGGGAGTTTTCTTATTAGAAGTGCCCTAGACCAATGAAATCACAGTTCCAACTTATTTTTAAAATGTACTTAGCACTGGGCTGGGTCCTAGGGATACGTGAATGAAAGCATAATAGTCATTGTCCTCAAGGAGCTTGGAGGAGTAGGAAGAACAAGATGTGCATAGATAATTAAGTACAATGTAATGTCAGTAGGGAAGGACATCAGAAAGTGGGGGAATCAGAAGAGGCGTCTTGTACGAGGAGACATGTGAGCTTATTGTTGCTTATGAGGCTGTATGTCAGCCAATCCATCAGAAAACATCCATTAAGTGAAATAATATCCATTCTCAAGGAGTTGATTTCCTTTGAAACAGGAAATCTAGCTGGCTGCTGTGGTAGGAGCAAAAGCTGAGCTCCTCCTCCCCTGCAAGTTTTCCTGAAAAGGTATTGAGCCCATCTTCACATCTTTGGTGGATTCAGACTGTTAACATCACTTCCTGGTCGCCTGAGTACAAAACATCCATGGGGGTCCTCCGATGCTTAGCAGACATACACATCAGAGGAAGGGGAGCTCCCTCAGCTGAATTAACTTGAGATGTCCTCAAAGCCCATCCTTATTGAACATCCTTTTCTTGCTAAGTAAATATCCTTTTGTTAACTGTGGATTGATATGTGAGCATCTTCTTTTGTTCCATTATCTAATCTACGCTACCAGGGGACCAGCTTGAGTCAAGCCCAGAACAACTCCTTAGATACCCACCCTCCTCCTCCTCTTCATGTACTGATAGTGCTAAATATCTTCTTCGCTGTTTTGTCCTAGAAACGCAAAGAGCGCGAAATGCAACAGGAGATGTTGTTGAGGGATGAAGAGACCATGGAGCTCCGGGGAACCTATACCTCTCTGCAGCAGGAGGTTGAAGTCAAAACAAAAAAACTCAAGAAGGTGAGAGTCCCGAAGTGGATTGGTAAAGGGGCTAGGGCGTCGTCGTCGTGGTGCAGTAGGTAGAGTGCTAGGCCTGGATGTCAGAAAGACCTGAGTTTAAATCCAGCTTCAGACACTTACTAGTTAGCTGTGTGACCCTGGGCAAGTCATTTAACCCTGTTTGCCTCAGTTTCCTCATCTGTAAAATGAGCTGGAGAAGGAAATGGCAAACCTTCTCCAATGTCTTTGCCAAGAAAACTCCAAATGGGGTCACAAAGAGCCTAACACTTAACTGAAAACAACTGAACAACAACAAAGAGATTCTGAGAGGTAGAGGAAAGGAGGGAGTGCTTCCCTCGCATGAGGGACAGCCTGTATCAGGGGTCCTTTGACTGAATCCAAATCCAAATCCCCTAGGAATTTCTGTGAAGTTTGGATTCAGTCAAAGGGCAGTACTTGAGGACCTAGAGGGTCACAGATTCCCCACCCTGGCCTATACAAAGGTAGTTTGACTGTCTAAAGGCCTCCCCTCCACAGTTTGTGTGAGTGCATATATGTAGTTTTTTTTTTTTTATCCCCTACACTTCTAATTAAGTTATTGGGGTCCAGGAGAGTGAAGTATACTATACTCTATATAAGTAGGCAATGCTCCTCTGAGCCAGCCAAGAGATTGGAAAGCTTTTTCACTCCTAGTCTCCGGCCGGGACTATTCTCAAAGTCTTATTGTTGTTCAGTGGTGTCTGACTCTTTGTGACCCTGTGAACCATAGCATACCAATACTGTCCAAGTCTTAGATAAAGACAAATTCTTTTATTTACAGGGTCATTCCCAAGTAATTACTTGAGTGTTGTCTAACTACACCTAGAGTAAGGGAGGGAGCCTTAAAGAGAGACAGCAGACCCAGGGTGGGGCTGGGGGTGGAGTGGGTTCCAGAAACTGGAAAAGGGAGAATGAGAGACTCTCTCCAATGATGGGAAGTTCACTCACATCAGCAAGATTAGCAGGTGTTCTAACAGAGCCTGTGAATGGGTGCAGACCTTCTGTTAGGGCCTGGCCAGGATGTGAGGCTAGAGTCCAGCCATTGGGCAGATGAGCCTCCTGGGAGTTCCCAGGGCTGTAACAATCTGACTGAGTCCTGAAGAAAGGTCTGCCACTGTGGTATTTACCACGAACACACTTTCCTCAGCATCTGGACATATTCTCTGACTGCTCGCCATTCTGTTGCTGATGAGAAAGGGGGAAACATGGTTAAAATACCTATTTACTACCAGGAGCCACCCTCTCTCTACTTCCTCCCAATGGGTTAAAGTGGGAAGAGTACCAGCTCTAAAGTCAGAGGCCCTAGCTTCAAACCCTACCTCTGTGTGACACTGGACTAGCGACTTACACTTCCTGCAAATGAGAGGGTTGGATTTCATGACTTTTGAGGTCTCTTCCACCTCTAAACCTATGATCTTATGGTTTTTCTTTCTGGACTTCCTTTGATGCACGAGACAGGGCCACATGCCCGTAACCCCGCTGTCCTTGGAAAGCCTGGTGGGGTAATGATACCAGTTAGCTTCAAAATATCCCTATAGGCTCCTCTTTCTCTCCCTCTGATCATAGCCATGGGAGAATGGGGTGGTAGTGGCATCTTTGGTGGGAAGGAGGGATGGCAGTAGGCCCATAGGCAGTTTATTTGAGTTTGATTTGCAATAAGAAAGGGTCAGGCCCAGGTGCTCATCCTTCCTTCCCTTTCAAGGAAAGAAGTGGTTCCCTGGGCCCCAAGTAAATTCTTCCTGGGACCAGTAAGAGTTAGAGGCTGTTGCTGCCACCCCATCCAATACTGGGGAGGGCTGACTCTGAATACATGGTCTAGGGGCAGCAAGGTGGGGCAGTGGGTAGAACACTGGCCCTGGAGTCAGGAGGATCTGAGTTCAAATCCAGCCTCAGATCAAACACTTGACACTTACTAGCCGTGTGACCCTGGGCAAGTCACTTAACCCCATTGCCTAGCAAAAAACAAAACAAAAACAAAAACAAAAAATACATGGTCTATCTCTTGTCCAGCTCTATGCTAAGCTGCAGGCAGTGAAGGCAGAAATCCAGGACCAGCATGATGAGTACATCCGTGTGCGGCAAGACCTGGAGGAAGCACAGAATGAACAGACCCGGGAGCTCAAGCTCAAGTGAGAGGCATCTTTCTCCTTCCTACCTTGTCATTTCTGCCCACTTAGAAACTCTCTAGCCCCTCTCTCATTCCCTGTTCCTTTGCATTCAGGCTTTTTGTTACCGGGCTCCCTTGCCAGGATTTCCACATTGCAGCACTCACCATTCCCACGTGTAGCAGTGGATTGAGAGAACTCATCAAATTAAGCAGGGGTTCTTCTGATCACCTCTGCTCCACTCAAGTCTCATCTTCCCTAAGACTAAGGCTGGAGAGTCAGGGCTTGGTGTGTCATGGGAGTAGAATGGTGTGTTCCCTAAGGACAGGATAGACATCAGATAAGCCTAAAGCTGGAAAGTCAGGACTTTGAGGATTTCTCCCTCCTATTTATCAAAAATCCTACTATGCACTAGTAGGTGCATACTAGGTGCTTTCCAGTTTCAACTGCTAGACCTTGTTCTTTAACTCCAGAGATGTTGAATTCTGCTGTTTTGTCTGGTTTTTACCAATGCCTACTTTCCTTCTGTTTTCCCCCACTAAACTCCACATTTTGGCTTTTGGTTTTATGTGTCTATTATGTATTCTCCAATCCATCCTTTATTACCTATACCATGCTCACTTTTTCTCTTGTCCCTCCTGCCTCCTATTCCCATTTCCAGATATCTAATCATTGAAAACTTCATCCCTCCTGAGGAGAAGAATAAGATCATGAATCGTCTTTACCTGGACTGTGAGGAGGAGCAATGGAAGTTCCAGCCACTGGTGCCAGCTGGAGTGTAAGTATGCACTTACCCAGGGAGCAGAGGCGGGGCTCTGGAGGCCCATCTACCAGACAGGGTCAAGAGGTCGGTGGTCATGATGGAAGACTGAAAGGAGAGATGGAGCTGTCTGTGGCCCGAATTCTGAGTAGAAGGTGGATTTTCTTCAAGTTCTGATGTAGAGAATCTCTAGGAGGAGAGTAGATATCTGAAAGGGAAGTGTTGGTGGGCAATATGATATAGTAGATAGGGCTCTGGAAGACTTGGGTTCAAATCCTGCCTCAGACACTCAGTAGCTTTGTGAAGTTGAGTGAGTCGCTTAACCTTCCTGTGCCTCTCTTTCCTCAAATGGAAAATGAAGGGGTCTGACAGCCTCTAAGTATTTTTTCTTCTGGCTCTTACATCTATGATCCTATGAGTTCCAAAAAGATGAGATGGCTTAGAAAACCGAAAGTACTGTTGGGGAAGAAGGGAGGTGAGGAGGTGAAAATCCCAGGCCTTCTGGTAGGTCCTTTCTTTGATACAGCTTAGAGGAGAGATTTGACCATCATACCTCTCTTCATCCTTCAGGTATGGACTCTGTGTTACTGTGAGTTGGGTATAGAGCTCCCTCTGCTGGTACTTATGTAGGATACACCTCCCTGTTTGTGCTAGACAGACCACACCCAGTCCTGTTATAATGCCAAGGAATTGCTAATTCACTTTCAAAATTCTGCTTAAAGAGGTCCAAAGGCCATAGCTCTGCTTCTGTCCCAGAAAGAACCAGGTCTAAGGGCAGGCAATGTAGGCGGTCACATAAAGTGGAACATGCAGAGGACATAATGAAGGACACATTTTTAAAAATTATATTGCTATCTTTTGTTTTTATATTGCCTTCATTTTTCAACATATCCTTCACCCACCTCCAACCAGAAAGCGATCCCTCATGATAAAGAGTAAAAAAGAGATTTTTAAAAAATCTGTTCAGCAAAAAATATTTAAAGGAAAAACAACATTATCAATTGAATGTTCCGTACCCAACCTCTTACCTCCCTCTGGGACGCTTTTAAATATTACTTAAAATCTTATGGTTATACCTGGAAGGAACATTAGAGGCCTTCTAGTCCAACCCCTTCATTTTATAGATGAGGAAATTGAGGTCCAAAGATGACCAGCAACTTGCCCAAAGTCACACGGGTATGTCTGGGATTGGATTCCATGTCTCTGAACACCAAATCCCATGTTTTTTTCCTCTAGACCATGCTTTTTTGTGATGCTAGTTCTTCAGTATTTCAAGCAACCCTGTTTTCATTAGTGTGAGTATGTCTTCCACTGACAGATCACAGTACCTTTCTGCCTTAGTTCATTTTACAAACTCACGTATTTTTAATGCCAGAAAATGCCATTGGCAGCAGCGTGTAGGATGAGTCTATGGTGTGAATTCACACGTGATATGGTTAAAACTCAAAACCTCCAATGGGCTCCAAGGGATGGGGTGGTGGCGAGGAAAATCTTCAAAGCTCATCCAAGGTGCACAAATGCTTTGTCATCCCTTTGCTAGGGAGGCGCAACCACCAATGAGGTGCTGAGGAAATGAAACTGAATTTGGAGTCAGAGAACGTGGGTTTGACTCCCAGCTTAGCTGGATGACTTTGGGCAAATCATTTAACCTCTCTGGTCCTCTGTGGCTCATATGTTTGGTGGGAGGGGAAAGGAGAGCTTTATATCTTTGATCATCTCCAGATCTGACATCAGAATCCCTGCACCTGGAATAGGAAGAGAGTGAGAGGCATTGTGGCCTTCTCAGGTGAAACTCAGGGAGCTCCTTTTTCCATGATTTAGGTTGAGAATAGTCACACCTTTCATTGTAATCTGAGGTGGTGATTGATCAGAGTTAAAGAGGCTGCCACAAAGAGTCTTCATTTGTTTTTGTAAATTCAGTTTCCAAGGGAGTTAATTCCCTGAAAATTAGGTCTGCTGCCACCAGGTGGTGGTAGGATGCCTTGCTCACATGAGCTACAAGAGGTGGCTGTTTTTCTTGGGATGCATATGGTAGTTCAGAATCATCAATAAACAGTTGAGGAGACCCTAGACGTCATCTGGTTCCCAGATTTATAACCAGCTTTATTAACTATAAGATTATTAATTTTAAAAAAGCTCGACTGAAAAACTAAACTCATATTAAAACAGGTAGGACTTTTAGAACAGTTTTTGGAAAAAGGAAAGGTTTCCTAAGATATAATTGGGTATCTTTACATATAATCTCTTAAATGTTACCATTCCTAGTACTTTTTCTCTTTTATTCATAGGACCATAGGTTTAGAGTGGGAAAGTACTTCAGAAAGCATCTAGTCCAACTTTCTTATTGTATTATTGATGAAAGTGAGGCTGAGAGATGTTAAGTTACTTGCTTAGGTGGGATTCAAACCCAGAGCTTCCAGTTCCAAATTCAGTAGTCCTTGCTCTGCACCATACTGCTACCTGCCTTTTATTCTTACCTCAAGTAAGATAATGTATCTGAAGAACTTTGCAAACCTCAAAGCACTACATAAATGAGTTGTTGTTATTATTATTATTGCTATTTTTGTTATCCTTAGCTTTAAAAAGATATTTAATGGTAATGGAAAGAGTCCTGGAAGAGGTGTCAGGAGACTTGTGTCTCCTTGGTTCTACCACTAACAAAGGTCACACAGACCTTGAGACAATAATTTCATTTCTCTGGACCTCAGTTTGCTCAACTGAAAAAGAGACAGTTGAACTAGATGACCTATAAAGTTCCTTCCAATTGTGCATTCTGTGATTCTACTTAACTTTCCAAAAGTGTCTGAAAGAAAAGTGTTAGTCAGCTCCGACTTTGTTTGGGTTCAATAGCTTGGAGAATCTCGGAGGAAGGAAACTCCAAGATCCTTTAGTCTAGCCCATACCTGAATTGGAATCCCCTTTATGACTTCTCTAACTAATGATTATCCAGCCACTGCCCAGGACCTCTGGGGGATAGGAAGGGAAAGCACTTCCTAAGGTGCCCCTTCCATTTATGAATAGTTTTAATTATATCAGACTGCCTCTCTGTAACTTCCAAGATAGAACCACTCCTGGTTCTATCTATCGTCTGGGGTCAACAGAATAAATCTGATGCCTCTTGTCTGTGTTTTCGCATACTTGAAGATATCTAGTGTATTCTTCCTAAGTTGTCTCTTTTCCAGGCTAAACATTCCCATTTTCTTCAACTACTTCTCATACCATAAGGTCCTCTTGCCATTCTGGTCACCTTTCTCTGCACATGCTCCTCCAGCTTATCAACATTCTTCCTAAAATCCTTAGAACTGAACCTAGAACTAAATACAAAATTCCAGATGGGGTCAGACCAGGACAGAGTAGAGTAGGAATATCACTTCCTGAGACCTTGCTTCTTGAATTCAAGTATGGGGCTTTACATTTATGCCTACTAAATTTATTCAATACCCATTTTCTTATATGCATGCCATGATATATGATAGGTACTGAGAATACAAAGATAAAAATGAAGTTAGTTCTTGTCCTCAAGAAGCTTATAGTCTACCAGGATACAGACACACATGTATATATGTGTGTATATATATATATAATACATATATATATATACACACACACACACAATATGCATATACGTGTATATATATATATATATGTAGATGTAGATAAGCAAATGCTAAGTGTATACAAAAATAATACAAAGCAATTTCAAGGAGAGCCTGTTAGTGACTAGTAGGAATCCTGATATAGGAGACAGCACCAGAGCTAGGTCTTGAAGAAGCTTAGGGATCCCAGAAGATCATTGTGAAGAGGGATTTTGTTCCAGGCCTGGGAGCGCAGAGATAGGAAATTGAATATAATGTATATAGTATTTTATTTTTTTCCAATTACATGCACAGACAATTCTCAACATTCATTTTTTATAAGATTTTTGGGCTCCAAATTTTTCTCTCTTCTACCCTCCCTCCTCAACACTGCAAGCAATCTGATATGTTATACATGTGCAATCATGTAAAACACATTTCCATGTTAGTCATGTTGTGCAAGAAGAAACAGAACAAAAGGAAAAACCATGAAAAAAAACACACAGAAAGTGAAAATAGTATGCTTTGATCTGCATTTGGACTCCATCGTTCTTTCTCTGGATGTGGATAGCATTTTCTGTCGTGAGTCTTTTAGAATTGTCTTGAATCAGGAAATTGAATATCGTGTATAGGGAACAGCTAGGAGGCTAGATTAACTGGAATAGAGAGTGTGTTAAAGGGAATAATGTGTAGTAGGATCAGAAAGGTAAGTAGGAAGGAGCTAGATAGTGGATAAATTTCATGGAACACTAACAATGATGGATTTTATCTTAGATGTAATAGAGAGTCCATGAAGATTTTTGATTAGGGGAGTGAAGTGGTCAGATCTGTGTTTTTGAAATATCAGTTTGTGGAGGAAGGACTAGAGAAAGGATAAACAGGAAGCAGGGAATCTAGTCTAGTTGCAGTAGTCCAGTGGAGAAGGAATAAGGGCTTGACCTAGAGCAGAGGCTATGTGAATGGAGAGAAGAGGAAGGATGCAAGAGATGATTCAGAGGTAGATTCTAAATTTGGCAGCTGATTAGATATGGATGTAGAAGAAGGAGAAGGAGGAGGAGGAAGGCATTATTTGAAGGTTAGGAACCTGGTTGACTGGAAGCATGGTGGTACCATTAACGTAAAGAGGGAAGTTTGGAGGAGAATTGGATATGGAGGAAAAATTAATGGATTCTGTTTTGTATGTGTTGAGTGTGAGATGTTTATGGGACATCAAAGTGGAGATGCCCAGCAGACAGTTGGTAATGCAGGACTAAAGTTCAGGAAAAAATATTAGAACTGCATGTAGAGTTGGGAGTCATTTGCAAGGAGATGATAATTAAACCCCATGGGAACTAATGAGATCACCAAGGAAGAGAAGAAGGCTCAAGATTGAGACATTGGGTGATGGCCACGTTTTATGGGCAAGAAAAGGATGAGATTGGAGACCCTTGATAAATGCTTGTT